AGGAAATAAGGTATAAGGTGTATAGAAAACAAACAGCAAAATGACAGAAGTCCTTCCTTATCACTAATTACCTTAAATGTAAACGGATGAAACTCTCCAATCAAAAGACAGAGATTGGAAGATGGATGAAAGAACCCAGCTATATGCTATCTATAAGAGACTCAGTTTAGATCTAAAGATACAATATGTTGGAGGTGGGGGCTGTCTGGTTAGCTCAGGTGGTTACAGCTTGGTATAGGCAATATAAAAGTCAAGAGTTTGGATCCCTGTACCAGCTAGCCAACAAAATAGACAAACAAAACAAACAATAAGTTGGAAGTGAAAGGATGGAAAAAGATATTCCATGTGAATAGTAACCAAAAGAGAGCAGGGATGGTTATATTAATATCAGAATAACAGACATTAAGTCAAAAGAGTTACAAGAGATAAAAAAATTATATATTAATAAAAGTCTCAATACAGCAAGAAGACATAACAATTACAAACACTTATGCACCTACTAATAGAGCATCAAAATATATAAAGCAAAAATTGACAGAATTGAAGGGAGAAACAGACATTTCTACAATAATGGTTGGAGACTTCAATACTCTGCTTTCAATAATGGATAGAACAACAGACCGAAGATAAGTAAGAACTGGGTCCCCGTACTGGCCAGCTGCCAAAACAAAAACAAAACAAAACAAACAAACAAAAAACCCCCCAAACTGTAAGAAAATAAAGGACCTGAGCAACACAATAAAACTAGCTCTAACAGACATATACAGAACACTCTACCTGACAACAGAATACATATTCTTCTCAAGTGTACATGGGGTAGATCATAAATTAAGTATCAATAGATTTTAAAAGGTAGATGCAAAGCTACGCGACTATGCCAGTTGTTGAGGAAGGCAAATCATAACCAAAGCCAAAATGTTTCATTATTTCAGTTATTCTGAGTTTCCATCTATATTGTCCAAGCTAGGGCTCAGACCCTTCAAACCCATGGTATAGACTGGGTCACCAGACCCTTCACACGCAGGTCCACGGTAGGTAATTGTGAAAGATCCTGGGGGCCATTGGCAGATGACATGAGCTCAGTCCTCAGCAACGGCAGCAGCAGCTTACAGGTCCGGCAGTGGCGGCGGCCTCACAGAGGATCCTGTGGACACTGGCAGCAACAGCCTACAGCAGCAGTAGTGGCCTCCCCACGGCCCCCCCAGGAGCATCCCAGGGGTGGGGGACCCCATGGATCAGAGCCACTAATCCTTTACACTTAAGTCCATAACCCAGGACACCTATGCACGTGCATATTTACATCAAATGCTTGGCAAGATTCTGAACATCTGAAGGGCCCTGACCATTTTCCTATATTTTCCCAACAGTAGAGATTATACAAAGTATCTTCTCCAACCACAATGGGATAAAGTTAGCAATCAATATCAGAAGGGCCAGCCCATGGCTCACTTGGGAGAGTGTGGTGCTGATAACACCAAGGCCACAGGTTCGGTTCTCTATATAGGGATGGCCAATTAGCTGACTTGGGAGAGCATGGTGCTGACAACACCAAGCCAAGGGTTAAGATCCCCTTACTGGTCATCGTTAAAAAAAAAAAAATCAATATCAGAAGGGCCAGCCCATGGCTCACTTGGGAGAGTGTGGTGCTGATAACACCAAGGCCACAGGTTCGGTTCTCTATATAGGGATGGCCAATTAGCTGACTTGGGAGAGCATGGTGCTGACAACACCAAGCCAAGGGTTAAGATCCCCTTACTGGTCATCGTTAAAAAAAAAAAAATCAATATCAGAAAGAAAATTGGAAAAAAAGAATGAAAGAAAGAAAGAAAACTGGGGGCTGGTTGGTTAGCTTACCTCGTAGAGTGAGGTACTGATAACACCAAGGTCAAAGGTTCAGATCCCCTTACTGGCCAGCTGCCAAAAAAAGAAAGAAACAAAGAAAGAAAACTGGAAAATTAAAAAATTTGTGGAAATTAAACAACACACTCCTGAACAACTGGTGGATCAAAGAAGAAATCAAAAGGGAAGTTAGAAAATACTTACAAGCAAATGAAAACAAAAACACATATGATAAAACTTATGGGACACAGTAAAAGCAGTGCTCAGGGGAAATGTTATAGCTACAAATGTTCAGGATTATAGATACAGAAAATAGAATGGTGGTTGCCAGGGGCTAGGAATGGGAAAATAAGAAGTTAATGTTTCATGGAGTTTTAGTTTTACAAGATGACAAGAGTTCTGGAGATGGCTAATGGTGATGGTTGCACAACAATATAAATGTACTTAATACCGCTGAACTGTATACTTCAAAATGGTTAAGGTAAATTTTACGTTCTGTATTATGCCACAATTTTAAAAATTGAAAAAAGGTATATTAACCTCTCTGTGCTTCAGTTTGCATAGCTGTAAAATGGAGATAATAGAACCTAAGACATAGGTTGCTGTGAGGATTTATTCACATAAAGTGCTTAGAATAGTAAGCACACCAAGATCAAAGGTTTGGATCCCTTTACTGGCCAGCCGCCAAACAACAACCACAACAAAAAGAATAGTAAGCACAAAAAAGTTCACTATTAGTACCATTTCAATCCTTTCCTCTTGTCTCTGTGACTGAGTGTAATACCTCATGGAAAGGTCATTTCAATGGCCCAATCTGGAGGTACTGAGTAGATCTGAAACTCAGGTCTGAAGCTCTCCTGCCCCATGACTCCCCCTGCCTCCTACTCTGGCTCCAGGGTCTAGCAGTAGCTATAGCTACAGCAGCTACAAGGACAATGCAGGGGCTTGTAAACACACACAGCACAGCTTCCCTCCCTTCAAGGCAACCCCATCCCTGGAGAGGAGAGAAGGCACATTTGTCTGGGAAGAGATCAGATGCATGGTGCTTGGCACTGGCATAGGAAAAGAAATGGTAAAGTAAGCATTGGCCCTCTTGGGCTGCTGCCTGCATAGCCAAGTTGTTCATTAGCTAAAAGATGCCCACATCAATATCTAAAAATAATCCTGCTGCCACCAGGTCAAGCAAAATCAACCCAGAGGACTGGGAATGGGAGAAGGGAGGGGGCCCGTTTGAATTCAATTAACCTGGCTTAACAAACACTGTCCTGTGTGGACTCATTGCTGTGTGGGCTTTCTGGCCTTTCCAGGTGGAGGTTTAATTGATCACTGACTTTCCTGGTTAAGAGAAGCAGGAAGGACTGTTAGCAGAACCTGTCTTTTAAAAAATATGTATTTTGGCTGTCCAGTTAGCTCAGTTGGTTAGAGCGTGGTGTTCCAACACCAAGGTCTAAAGGTTCGGATCCCCGTGCAGGCCAACTCCCCCCAAAATAAAAAGATGCATCTTTTGTTAAATGGGATGTAAACAAGAGCCACGTGGAGCCGTGGAAACGGGAGAGAAAGCTCTGATTCAAAACACCTAGGTTCTAGGCCCGCTCTTTTCTTGCGAGATCGAGATTTATTCTGTCTCTTCGGGCCTGAGCTTCCCCATCTACACAGAGTGGGAGTTGGACCTGATCACAAAGAGGCATGAGAACCCAATATTAAATATTGTTGACTATCAAAATCAGTAGCATTTCTTTTCACCAATAGTGAACAAGCAGAAAGAGAAATCAAGAAAGCCTGCCCATTCACAATAGTCGCCAAAAAAATAAAATACCTAGGAATTGAACTAACTAAGGACGTGAAAAATCTCTATAACGAGAACTATAAACCACTCCTGAGAGAAATTAGAGAGGATACAAGAAGATGGAAAGACATCCCATGCTCCTGGATTGGAAGAATCAATATAGTGAAAATGACTATACTACCCAAAGTAATATACAAATTCAATGCAATCCCCATCAAAACTCCTATGACATTTCTCTCAGAAATGGAAAGAACTATACAGTCATTTATCTGGAATAACGAAATTAATTCACCCACATACACACACACACAAAACCGGAGGGTGGGGGTGGGGAAGAAGATATAACAACTATACTTTTATGAAGTTGTTACAACAAGCAAACGGAAAGGACATTCTTGGGGGGGAGGGGAGAGAGGGAGGAGGGAGGGAGGTGTCGGTGATGGGCCATAATAATCATATACAGGGTATATTGACAAAATAAAAATTTAACGGAAAAAAAAATATTATGGTGAAAAAAAAAATATTGTTGACTATCTTCCCGTTACTTCTTTTACTAGGAAGTCTCAGTGTGGTGTTAGCCTGTCTTTAACGCTTTTCCAATGATGGCTAGTCTCCCTTTACATCATCAACAGTATCCAGCATGAATTAATAATAGTTTTGTTTCCATCGTATTTATTTCTATAGTTCCCTTGCATAAATAAGTGTGATTGATTTTCTATTTGCAGCTCAGGATTGATATCAAATCTCCCTTTAAAATTGGTTTAAATTTAGGGCCGAGCCCGTGGCGCACTCGGGAGAGTGCGGCGCTGGCAGCGCAGCAGCGCTCCGGCCGCGGGTTCGGATCCTATATAGGGATGACCGGTGCGCTCACAGCGCTCACTGGCTGAGCGCTGTGCTGCCGGTCTCAAAAAGGACAAAAAAACAAAAAAAAAACAAAAAACTGACTTATTATGTTATAGCCTTTGCACCATATGTAACGGAATTATATTGTTTATATTCTTTTCTGCCTGTTTTCTTTTTCTCATTGT